TTTCACCCTCGCTTTCTGTCTCTCTCTGGTGAACATATGCACCCTATAGCAAAATTTAAAATAATAATAAATGAAATTAAATATTTTTAAGCAATAGAGAAATTAAAATGGTATAAAAAAAACTTAACACAAAAGGAGTCAAGAAAGGATGAAAAGAAATTTGTTTGGGAAGATGATGCAATAGACCCATTAATATATTCAAAGCACCACTGTGTCAAAGGAGAAACACCCTGTGATCTACCTTGAAAGATGATGCGTATGGAACAGCAGATGGTGTGGTGGTTGAGGCTCTGGACTCCCACGTGGCCGACTGTGGTTCAAGTCCTGGACTTGGCAGCTTACTTTCTCACTTTCCCTCTTTTTCTGTCTCTCACAATGTCCCTGTCTGGTCAAATTAAAAATAAGTAAATAAATAAGTTAAATTAAATAAAATAATAATAAAGATGTTACATAATAGTATAATATAGTTAACAGAATATTCTAAAGAGAAACTATCTGCATAGAGATCTCTGCTTGTTTCGTTAGACTTGCACTATAGAAATGGTTTGAATTATCACTAGAAATCTATATGCAATAACTGTTTTGATTATTGTTTGTCTAATATAGGATTCATGGTGAAGATCTTCCCCATCCCCTTTTTATTATACACATGATTTATCTCCAAAGTCATATTCTTCTTTAAACTTACATATTTGGATTCTAGCAGCATAACAATTTTATGGTGCAGACTGTTTTCTTTATGCTGTATAATGATGTCTTCAGTTTTCACATACTCAAAGTAAGCTTCCAGTTTCTTTATTTTCTAGGAGGAAGATATGGTATCTGCCCAAGGAAGAGAGGAAGCATCAGATAGGCGCTTACAGCAGTTACAGTCTAGCATAAAACAAGTAGAAACAAGGTAACTTATTAAATATATCTAGATGTGTCTATGTGTTTCAAAGATATTACACAACAGGAGACCAGCAGTTAGCGTAATGGCTATGTCGCTGGACTCCCATGTAGTCAACCGCAGTTCGCATCCCAGACCTGGTGGCTTAAACTCAGGCCGGGCACATGTGCGTGCATGCCCAAGATTCCGAGAGGAGAACAGAGGAGATGGGATTGCGGCGTGGCCATCCCCCCTGGGGGTTGATTTCTCGCTTTCTGTCTCTCTGTCTCTCTCTGGCTGGCTGGCCAGCTCATGCACCCTATAGCAAAAACCTCTCAAAAAAAAAAAAAAGGAATTACACAACAGAGTTTCAGTTTTTGATATTTACTAGAATATACATTTTGTAAGTGCTAAATGAAAACTATAATCATAGTTCCTGATACTTCATATTATTATCATAACCCTTTTAACTGTTTATCTTGACCCATGATGAAATAATATAAAATATGAAAAATAGACATTTTGATTATTTTATTTTGTTATAAAATGAACAATTTATGTATTTAATAAAATCTTTTCATTTGCTGCAGTGACTATAATAAAGTTGACAGTAAATACTTGCCTGCTCCCTCCCCTACTTTAATATGCCTTTTAATACTAAAAATTTTACCAGCTAGGAATTTAAAAAGCTAAAATGGGAAGAAGACAATAGATGTTACTCTGAAAGGAATCAATAATATTTAGATTTGAAAAGAAAACTAAGAAGTGAAATAAAGTTATCGTACTTTTTATTTGTTTTTGAATTTTATTTTGGGCATAATAAAGGAGGCATATATTTCTGTGCTTACAGAACAGTTGTGGAAAAGATCTAAGGGAGATTTGAGATGCATCCTGGTGAGACTAGATTTTATTTCCCATGTATGATCAAGAGAAAAGCCATTACGGCTCTCTCCGCAGGAGCCTGCCACAGTGACGGGCAAAGCATCATCTCTCATCATGTACTGAGTGCCTGCTGCGCATCCGTCGTGTTTTTGGTTCTAGGGCACTAGGAGAGGCCAGTATCTGCTGACATCTTTATCTCCATAGATAACCAGGAAAAAACCCTAAACTGCACTATGCCTAATTAGTTTAAATAATGCACAGGATGTTGTTAAATGTTCATTATGTTGTCTTACATCTGGGAAACTTTACCACTGGATGCTACAGTTTAAAATAGGGATCTTAGAGGACCAGCAGATGGATAGTGTAATGGTTATGTCACTTGACTTCCATGTAGTCAACAAGTGTTTGAGTCCCAACCCAGTGGCTTAAAACTCACGCCAGACATGTGTGCGTGTGTTCCCAAAACCTCAAGAGTAGGCTGGAGAAGGGATTGTGGCATGGCCATCCCTCCTGGGGGGTAATGTCTCATTTTCTGTTTCTCTGTCTCTCTCTCTCTGTAGAACGCCCATGCCCTAAAGCAAAAACCTAAAAAAAAGAAAATAGGGGTTTTATGAGGCCAGCAGATGGCACAGTGGTTAGGATGCTAGACTCCCATGTGGTTGATTGCAATTTGAGTCCTGGACCTGGTGGCTTGCTGTCTCACTTTCCCTTTCTGTCTCTCTCTCTGATCAGATTAAAATAATAATAATAATAATAATAATAATAATAATAACAAATAAGATAAATAATTGTTAAAAGAAAAAGGGGGGTTCCAGGAATCAGCATCTCGTGTAGTGGTTATATTGCTGGACTCCCACATAGTCAGTCACAGTTCGAGTCCTGGACCTAGCAGTTTGAAACTCATGTGTGGAGCATGTGCACGCACACCCAGAATCCTGAGGAAACTGGAGGAGAAGGGATTGTGGCATGGCCATCCTCACTAGGCCATCTGCTGGTCCCATATTTTTTTTAGATTTTTTTCTACAGACTGTGAGAGTTCACTGGAGAGACAGAGAGGAAAATTAAAAATCACCTCCCAAGGAGGATGGCCATGTCACAATCCCTTCTCCTCCATTCTTCTCTTGGTATTTTGGGCATTCACAAACACACATACCCAATGTGATTTTTCAAGCCACCAGGTTCAGGACTCAAACCACAGTTAGCCATGTGGGAATCCAGCACCTTAACTGTCATGCTACCTGCTGATTCTAAAAAACAGCTTTCTTACTGTAAACATTTTGATGATAAATTACAGCAAACATATTTTAAGTGTAAGGGAAACCTCCAAAAGGTACAAATGAAGAAAAAACAAAGTTTAAACCTAGTGCTGAATAGCCATGGAAGCCAGGGCTGGGTCTTCATAATGTAGCAGGAAGCTGAAAGCCTCCCAAGCCTGCTTGAAGTTGGAACACTTGAAGGAACTCTACACCCTATGGAAAGGCTAAAAGAGGAAAGATACCTGCCTCTCAGCAAAGATGGCCAACAAGGAAAATTATTTTCACCATGTTGCCAAATGGAAAAAGCAAGCCGTAATAACCAGTACAGTCTTCTCGATGTGCAACCTTAGCCCTGCCTTCCTATGAGCCTGGGGTTCACATAGCCACTTATCCATTTGGAAACCTCAAGCCAAAAACGCAAAGTGGGAACAGTTTGATAGCAAGTCCTGGTGCATGGAAGAAGCCAAAAGTCAATCTCCTTTGGGAGGAAATATTTTTAATTCAGGCCCCTTAAGATTTCTACAGAAGGGAACCAGCAGTTAGCGTAATGGCTATGTCGCTGGACTCCCACGTAGTCGACCGTGGTTCGGGTCCCGGACCCGGTGGCTTAAAACTCACGCCGGGCGCGTGTGCATGCGTGCCCAAGATCCCGAGAGGAGAATGGAGGAGAAGGGATTGCGGCGTGACCATCCCCCCTGGGGGGTGATTTCTCGCTTTCTGTCTCTATGTCTCTCTCTGTCTGTCTGGCGAGCACACGCGCCCTACAGTGAAAATCTCTCCCCCCCCAAAAAAAAAAAAAAAAAGATTTCTACAGATTAAATTCAGTTCTGATGATTGACAGTTACCAAATGCAGGGCCAGATGATGACACCACGGAAAAACATGATGCCCTGTGATCTGACCCCCATGGGAAGGGAAGTTTCTGAGTTTGCATCTGAAGATCTCCCTGAGTACTCTGGGCACGTGTGTGCCGCGATCTGGGCTGGCTGGAGGTGCATCAGAGAGTCAAGACCCTGATGTGGGGATCTGTATGTCTCTCTCTCTCTCTCTTAGATGACATAAGAGAACTTTGTAAAAAAATGTTTTTTAATTACCAAATGCATGAAAAAATAAGCCACTTGACTGAAAGAGGAAAACAAGTAAAGGATTTAGAACCAGCTACTTACCCTACCCCCAAAAGAATGTCAGATATTAAAATACAGAATATAAAGCATATGACTATAAAGAAACTTTTCTTAAAAAAATATATGCAAGGGGGACCAGCAGTTGGCATAATGGCTATGTTGCCGTACTCCCATGTAGTCGACCATGGCTTGAGTCCCGGAGCCAGTGGCTTAAACTCACACCGGGTGCGTGTGTGTGCATGCCTAAGATCCCGAGAGGAGAATGGAGGAGAAGGGATTGTGACGTGACCTTCCCACCTGGGGGGTGATTTCTCGCCTCTGTCTCGCTTTCTCTCGGTCATTCTGGTGAGCTCATGCACCCTATAGCAAAAAAACCTCAAAAAAAAAAAGAAAGTTTATTTTGTATCTTTGTCTTAAATCACTATCTTACTACAAAAGCTCACTCTAAAATCTTGTTTTTTGTTACTGTTTCTTAGTCCTTTATTGAGTGTTTCCTGAAGGAACATGAAAATTGTCACCAGTAATCTATTAAAGACGAAACAATCATAGCCTATAAATTCACACTGTGAAAAATCTACTTTGTGATTGTGTGATTAGAATCTGTTATACTCAGAATAGTCTACTGATCTGAGTACATCAAGAATTGATATTTGGGGCCTGCAGGTGCCATGGTGGTTAAGGTACTGGACTCCCTCATGGCCGACCATGGTTCTAGTACCACACCTGGCAGCTTGGTTTTTCACTCTTCCTATCTCACTGTCCCTCTCTGGTCAAACTGAAGAAGAAATAAAATTAAATAAATAATTTTTTAAAAAGAATTGATGGGACCAGCAGTTGGCATAATGGCTATGTCGCTGGACTCTCATGTAGTCGACTGCAGTTCGAGTCCCAGGCCCAGTGGCTTAAACTCACTCTGGGCACGTGTGCATGCATGCCCAAGATCCAGAGAGGAGAATGGAGGAGAAGGGATTGCATAGTGGCCATCCCCCCGGGGGGTGATTGCTGTACATATAAGATATCTTAAGGATATTTTTGTTTGTGCACCTTTTCTTTTTTTTAAGAGCTTTTTGCCATAGGGCATGTGCCCTAGCTGGAGAGGGAGAGATAATGAGAGGGAAAGTGAGAAATCACCCCCCAAGGGAGATAGCCATGCCACACACCCTTCTCCTCCATCCTCTTCCTGGGACCCTGGGCATGCATGCACACACATCCAGTGTGATTTTTAAGACACTGGGTCCAGAACCTGAACCACAGTCAGCCATGTGAGAGTTCAGCATCTTTAGAGTCAAATATTCAGTTAACTCCCCCTGAAAAGGAAAAGTTTATATTGGCTCTCTTTTAGTGCTATCAAATTAAGTTACTATTTTGATAAAAAGTATTTATGTATTTTAAAGTTTAAAAAGTAATCTATTTTTATATAAGAAAAAGCAGTTATCTATGTGCTTGCCTTGTGCCTCTAAGTAACAGTCAAACAGTCAGCCAGTATGTTTCAGGTGTGAATGTATCCCATTTATTAAACTGCCAGGTTGAAAAACTGTTCTAATGGTTATCTTTGTTCCATAAAGCAAAGACATTTTAATTTTAGCTTCAATAAATACTTATTTGAGTTCTTAGATTATTATTGTTTGTGATCATTCCAAATGCCACAAACATGAAACATAGTGATTTACTTCCTTTTTCCTTTTGTCAAGAATTATTTATTTTGTTAATTATTATTATTATTATTATTATTAATTTGAACAGAGAGAAAGTGAGAAAGCAACTGCCAGGTCTAGGATTCCAACCACAGTTGGCCATGTGGGAGTCTAGTGCCTTAACCACCATGCCACCTTCCAGCCCTGGTTTACTTCCCTATTCCAAAGTAAAAAAATCTGCCTTCCCTACATTTTATGTGATTAAGGGATCCCAGGAGTTACCTCCAGGGAATGGCAGGTCTCTCTAAGAAACACCTGGCTGGCTTCTACATACATGCTCCGCTAAACTAGGCAGGAGTTAAATGAGCAGAATTGTTTAAACTGTCACTTTGGATTTTTCTTTTTACCCCTTTTTTATTTTTTAATCTGTTATTTCTTTTAAAATAAAAAAATATACTAATACAACCAGGAAATCTTCATTTAGGTAACTGGCAAAAGTGGTTTTCTTTTTTTTTTAAGAATTATTTTATTCAACTTTATTTATTTATTTTAATTTGACCATAGAGGGACAGAGTGAGAGAGAGTGAGAGAGGGAAAGTGAGAAAGCAAGCTACCAGGTCCAGAACTTGAACTGCAGTCGGCCACATGGGGGGAGACCAGCACTCTTAACCTCCACATTACTTCCTGGCCCTGAAAGTGATTTTCGTTCTAACCATTGTTTACATTTTGTTTGCCAATATTATTCCTCAGCATAATATAATATATTAATTTTTATATTAAAAATAGTTTAAATATGCCTAATTTTAGTGGACTAGAAAACTGGGCTTTGAAAATTCATGAACGATTATGGTTGTATAAAATGGGGAGGGTCTTAAAAAATCAAGTTGAACTTTAATTTCATGTGGCCTATTACACTTTTAATTTTTATTGCACAAAAAATTATATTTAAATACCTGCTGTGGATAGACATGTGTATGCTATATATGTATATTTATGTGTATATACACGTGTGTATGATTATATGAACATGGAGAAAAATGTTCAGAGATAAACATGAGTAAGTTAACATTGTTTACCTATGTAGAAAGTAGGAAATAGAGCCAAGTGAAAAAGAAACAAAAGTCCGTATAGGGCCAACCCATTAGCCTAATGGTTAAAAGAGCTGGATCCCACATGGCCAATCATGGTTCAAATCTCAGCCTCAGTGGCTTGGAAAACATGCCAGGCATGTTTGTTTGCATGTGTGAAATCTCTGGAAAAATAGAAGAGAAGAGATTTTAGTGTGATCACACCCCATTGGGGGTGCGCTCTCTCTCTCTCTCTCTCTCTCTCTCTCTCTCTGTCTCTCTTTATCTCTGTGTATCTCACTCTAATGAGTACTGCACCTTCTGGCAATTAAAAAAAGAGCAGCTCATCTTCAGGGATTTACTTTGTCTTGTAATGATATAATACAGTGTGATATCATAGCAAGTGTAACATAATTAAGACCATCTAGAGTTATTCTTAACCCTACTGCTCGTTGACCATGACCTTAATCAAATGCTTAACATCTCTAAGTATGTTCTTTAAAAATGGGGATAATACGGGCCAGCAGGTGGCATAGCAGTTAAGTCGCTGGACTCCCACATGGCCTACTATGGTTTGAGTCCCAGACCCAGTGGCTTGAAAATCATGCTGAATGTGTATGTGCGCATATCCAAGAGCCCAAGAGGAGAATGGAGAAGGGATTGTGACATGTCCATCTACCCTGGGAGGGGGGGATTTCTTTTTCTCTCCCTCTCTCTCTCTCTCTCTCTTTCTCTCTCTCTCTTTCTCTCTCTCTCTCTCTTTAGTGAGAGCACACACATCATGACAAAAACCTTTTTAAAAAATGGGGGTAATAAAACCTACTTTACAGAACTGTGGTGAAAAAACAAATGAAAAAATTCATGTGAAACTTATAGCACAATGCCTGTCAGTAGTTCTATCTCCTTTATTCTCTTTAAAAATGTTTAACTTTGGGAACCAGCAGATAGCATAATGGCTGTATCGCTGGACTCCCATGTAGTCGACCACAATTCAAGTCCCAGATTCGGTGGCTTAAACTCACACCGGGCATGTGTGTGTGTGTGTGCCCAAGATCCCTAGAGGAGAATGGAGGAGAAGGGATTGCAGCATGGCCAATGGCCATCCCTCCTGGAGGTGGGGGGGGAGTGATTCTCACTTTCTGCCTCTCTGTCTCTCTCTGTCTTTCTGGTGAGTTCACACGCCCTATAGCAAAAACCTCTCTCAAAAAAAAAAAAAAAAAAAAGCCTAACTTTGGCTTAATTGTGAAAGCACATAGTAGATGCTGCTACGTAACAGACAGGCCATATGGGAGGCCCAGGTTCAATTCTCAACCCACCCTGAAAAACTGGGCATGGTGACATGTGCATGTATTCCCAGCTACTTGAAAGGCTAAGGCAAGATATTATGAGCTTGCACCCCGTGCAGACAACACAGGAGGATCGCGTCTGAAAGAGCTGGGCATGGAGGTACCTGCTTGTGCTCCCGGCTACTTGAGTGACTGAGGCAGGAGGATGGCAACACGGTGGGACCCTGTGTAACACACCACACATAGACACACACAAATTAACTTTCGCAATGTGATCATTAATTTCTAGATTATGTGTGGCAATCCAAGAAGCCAGTCAATTAAGAACAGAAAAAACACATCTGGAAAAACAAATTGGGGAACTACAAGTAAAGTGCAATGAATTAGAAAGTGAGAAATATGAGGCGATTTCAAGAGCCAGAAACAGCATGCAGCTCTTGGAAGAAGCTAACCTTCAGAAAAGCCAGGTAAGAAAAAATTAGTAAGCGGGCCCGCAGGTAGTGTAGTGGTTAAGGGTGCTGGACTCCACTTGGATGACTGTGGTTAGAGTCCCAGACCTGGTGGCTTGCTTTCTCACTTTCCCTCTCTTGCTCGCTCTGTCCCTTTCTGGACAAATCAAAATAAATAAATAAATAAAGTAATTATTAAAAAAAAAAAAAAGAAAATTAGTAAGCATGTTTATAAATAATTAATTGCTGAACATTTCCTCATATGACCTAGTAGTAAGGAACTCAATAGTTGAAGAATACATGTGTGAAGGAGATTGCTGCAGTCTCCATTAGTAGCCATACTGTGTTCTTGGATGGTAAAGATTCAGCGTAATATATTGGGTCATTGGAAAAATCATGATGAGTTTTTCTGTGCAAAAATGTGTCATGACTTTTCTGATAAAGGAATACAATAGCATGTCAATCCTGTCTCAAAATTAGTATGTAAATATCAGACATTTCTTTTACCCCTAATCTCTATGTAACTAATCTTCATCCTATATGATCTCATATTTTTTAAAAAAATCTGTTATAGGTCATGCCGGGCACATGTGCGTGCATGCCCAAGATCCCTAGAGGAGAACGGAGGAGAAGGGATTGCGGTGTGGCCATCCCCCCTGGGGGGTGATTTCTTGCTTTCTGTCTCTCTGTCTCTCTCTGTCTGGCGAGTACACGTGCCCTATAGCAAAAACGTCTCAAAAAAAAAAAAAATCTGTTATAGGGACCAACAGATAGCATAATGATTACATCACTGGCCATATAGTCAACCACAGTTCAAGTCCCAGACCTGGCAGCTTAAAATTTACTCCAGCTGCATGTGCGTGCATGCCCAAAAACCTGAGAGGAAAATGGAGGAGAAGGGATTGTGAAAGGCAATTCGACTACTGGCTTCCTGTTTCTCTGTCGCTCTCTCTATCTCTCCAGCAAGCACATGTACCCTATTGCAAAAATCTCTCTAAAAAAATCTTTTATAATGCCTTACTGCCACATACCCTATATTTTATTCAGTTGAATCAGATGAATTATTTTTCTTTATTTCCCCTTCATTACCTACAGTGTACTCTAATCAAGCAGAATTTTCAGAATTGAATTTATCCTTAAAGATATTTTTCTAATGAATTCTTTTATTTGACTTTATTTTTTTCTTTCTTTTTATTTGAACTGAGAGGGACAGAGTGAGAGAAAGTGAGAGAGAGAGAGAGAGAGAGAGTGAGAAAACAAGCTGTCAGGTCTGCGACTTGAACCACAGTCAGCCATGTGGGAATCCAGTGCCCTTAACCACCACCCCTCTGTCCCATTTCCTTAAAGATTTATTAACTGGAATCTATGTCACTGTTTTTTGTTTGTTCTTTTGTGCTCTCACTTACCTCATGTTTTGTCTTTTACTATTTCCATGTGAATAGTACATATAGTTAATAGAAGTCACAAAATATATAGTTTTTTTTTTAATATTGCTGCTTCCCTTATTTGGAACCCATTAAAACATTAATTTTTTAACCAATATTTATGGAATACCTAGTATATGCAGAATTCTCTGCTAGGAAATACAGAGTGTATAAAGGAAAAGCTTTGTTATATTTGCTTCCTTTTTTACATGGTAAAGGATTTTCCAAGAAATCTTCTATAAACACAGAACAAAAACAAATTATAAGTTACATATTAAGAAGATTAAAAAAAAAAGAAAAAGAAAAACTTACCCAAATTCAAACTGGAAATGCTAAGATACTCATCATGCCTTTCAGTGAAATACTCCCATCTGTCATCTGAATGCTGTCTCAAAATAGTTATAAGGCACACAGTATTCACAATATGTTTGGGAACTATCCTAAACACCTAAGATAGTTACAAAAATTAAGGACTGAGCAAACTTGTTTATCTCTTTCTACTCTCTACTCTATGAGCAATCTTTATTTTTCCTTTGGATTTTGTCATAGGGCACATGTGCTGACCGGAGAAAGACAGAGAGGTAAAGTGAGAAATCACCCCCCACACACACAGGGGAAATGCCACACCACAGTCCCTTCTCCTTCTGCCTTGTCTTAGGATTTTGGGCACACACACACGCACATATGTCCAGTGTGATTTTCAAGCCACCGGGTCCTATACTCCTATACTCTTCGGTCATATGGGAATCCAGTGCGTTAATCCACATGCCACCTACTGGTCCCATTTATGAGCACTCTTAACGTTAAGTTACTAGAATGACTACCTGGTGTAGGTCAGAGAAGGTAAAGGAATACTCATTCATTTCCTGTCGCCCCAAATCTTCCCACTCAAGTCCTACATCAGCAGACTCTCACAGGGGCTGTCCATAGCTACGTTATTAAGCTCTGTCTGGACCCATGGTTTCATTGCTAGAGGATTCTCATTTTTAGTTGCATGTTCAAAGTCAAGGGTTCTTTCAGTCTGTCATACAGACAGACAGGAAGAACTGACTAACTTGGTGGCCCTTTCTTCATTGTCTCATCCTCTTCCTCAAGAGTATTTCATCAGAACAGCTATTATTTCTCACCTAAGCTTTCTTACTTAAGCTGGAAGAAATGTATTAAAAACACAGGGAGGCCAGAAAGTGGAATGGCAGTTAAGGCCGTGAATGTCCACATGGCTGACCACAGTTTGAGTCCCAGACCTGATAGCTTGCTTTCTCATTTTCCCTCTTTATCGCTTTCTCTCTCGTTCTCTGTCTCTGGTGAGCACACATGCCTAGAGCAAATTAAAATAATAATAATAATAACAATAAACAAAGCTAAATAATTCTTTTTTTAAAATAAATTAATTTTTTAAAAAAGAAAAACAATTAGGGCTGGCCCCATGGCCTGGTGGTTAATGAAACCAGATGCCACGTGATCAACTACAGTTGGAATCTCAGCCTCAGCAGTTTATAAAACAGCCTCAGTGTGTGTGTGTGCCCAAAGTCCCAACAGGATGGAGACTAGAGAAGTAACTATGACATGACCACACCCCAATGAAAGATGCTTTCTCCCTCTCCCTCTCTCTGTCCATCTGAGGAGTGCACATACCCTTTGGCAATGAAAAATAAATTAAAGATAAAAACAGATGAGCATATGTATCTTTGAAGATGGTAGGATCAGAACACAGAGCCATTTGTTATGTGTTGATGCAAAAAGAGATTCAACGTGGCCTAAATGGAGAAGTTCCAAACCCAGAAAGATGTTTGGGTTAAAAATTAACTTCATGGGGACCAGCTGTTGGCGTGGTGGTTAAAGCGCTGGACCTGGTGGCTTGCTTTCTCACTTTCTCTCTCTCTCTCTCTCTCTACCTCTCTCTGCATCTCTCTCTGGTCAAATTAAAATAAATGAATGAATAATAAAATTAAAATAAATAATTCTTTTAAAAAAATGTAACTTCATAAATTGTCAATGTTCAAATGACATTTAAAACCATGATATCCGATTGGACTGCCAGGGAATAAATGTAGAGAAGAGAACGTCCAAAATCCAGTATTCAGAGGTTCAGGAGAAGAGGAGGAACCAGTTATGCAGGCTAAGAAAGAATGCAGTAGAAGGAAAACCAATACTGTGCTGAGGTGAAAGCCAAATGAGAAAAGTGAAGCAAGAAGAAAGTGATCAGTTATCTTACATGCTAAGTATTCAGTGTGAAGATCTTGGTGGGGAAAGCCTGACTAGAGTCATGTGAGAGAGAACAGGAAGAAGTATTGGAGATGAGCATTTTGCTCCACAGGGAAGCAGAGGAGTGGGTGTGACTGACCCCAGATGTAGGATTGTGGCAGTATTCTTTTGGTGGGAGGTGGAAATAATTGGAGAAATAGGAACAGGAGGTATTTACAATGGTGGAGGTGTGAGATGCCTAGAGACATAATTTGAATAATACACTGTTGTGGGGAAAAAAAGAAATCTAAGTGATTTTTCCAAAGATATAATACCTAGATCTGATTATATACTTTGTATAGAGTCTTGAAGGAGAAGGAAAATTCAAAAACGGTTCTAAGATTTCTAGTTATAGAAATTAAAAGACTGATGGAAACACTGGCTGAAATTAATACCAAAAAAAGAGAACATGTTGTTAGTTAGGATAAAGGCAGATGAGGAGTTTAGGGAAAATACTAAATAAGACTCATGGCTTAGGCAAGATCTTCAAGTGGAGAGATCCCAGAAGTTAGAAAAAGGTAATTACTTTAAAGAAAGTGAGTAATGGGTAGGGTTACCTTTTATTAACTTTACTAATAATGGTACAATCTACAACATGACATGGTTATTTTCTGAAGGCTCTGCTTGAGGAGAAACAAAAAGAAGAAGATATAGAGAAAATGAAGGAAACGATTTCTCGGTTTGTACAGGATGCTGCAATGAGAACCAGGAAAGAAGTAAGTGGTTTTTAATTATATTTAAAATTCAAATTTTAAGTTACAACTAAAGAGTAAATACTACTCAAATATTTAAAATTAAAATACTTACCTACAAATCCATAAAGGCTATATGTGAATTTAGTAACATAAATGTTTAAAACCGTTGTTTCTTTTCTTTAAAATGAGCTCTTCAACTACGTTTTTCTGTAGGCAGTGTTATAGCTTTCCTAGGTGTATTACTGTTCTAAACTGGTTTTTAAAAGCCTCATCATTTTAAAAAAATTTAAATTAAATTAACATGTTTGCTTTCTCACAAGCAGCTAATTGATAAGAGTTTTTATTCCTATAAAACCTATAATGTTTCTTTCTGAAAATCTTTCTCAGGTATCTATTATTTTGTCACTATCTGACTGAGTTTAGATCATCTTCCAAGATAACAATTTTTTTTTAAGTTTTTTTTGCCATAGGGCACATGCACTCACCAGGTAGAGAAAGAGAGAGACAGAAAGCAAGAAATCACCTCCCAGGAAGATGGCCACCCCGCAGTTCCTTCTCCTCCATTCTCCTCTCAGGATCTTGAGCACACATGCTTACGTGCCTGGCGTGAGTTTTAAGCCACCAGGTCTGGTACTCGAACCATAGTCAACTACATGGGAGTGCAGCAATATTTCCATTATGCCACCTGCTGGTCCCTTTTGTATAAACTTTTAAATAATCTGTGCAATTTTTCAGTGATGTTGTAATGCCTGTATTCATTTCAAATGTCCCTACAAACCTGAGTGTTCAGCTGCCTCCTAAAATCTAGTTATTTCTTGGCACCAGCAGGTGATGTGGCAGTTAAGGCACTGGATTCCCACTCAATCCACAGTGGTTCAAGTTCCAGATCCAGCAGCTTGAAAAATCACACTGGGCCCATGTGCATGCATGCCTAAAATCCTAAAAGGAGAATGGAGGAGAAAGGATTATGGCATGGCCTTCCCCCATGGGAGATGATTTTTCACTTTCCCTCTCTCTGTTTCTCTCTCGAGAATACATGCACCCTATGGCAAAACCTAAAAAATAAAAAAAATTTACAGATTTTGTTACCTTCCTAGCTAAATAGTCTTATCGGGCATCTGAAGCTCAGCATGTCTGGAGCTATTTTCTCTCTCTTACTCTCAGATCTTTCCTTCCTCCTGTGTTCCTGTCAATTTCCTGCACCCAGCCTTTCCCTGGTGTTCCAACTATTCACTCAAGAAGTATATATCAAGCACTGGGATCAGCAGTTAGTGTAGTGGCTATGTCGCTGGACTCCCATGTAGTCGACCGCGGTTTGCATCCCAGACCCGGTGGCTTAAAACTCACGCCGGGCGTGTGTGCATGCGTGCCCAAGATCCCAAGAGGAGAATGGAGGAAAAGGGATTGCAGCGTGGCCATCCCCCCTGGGGGGTGATTTCTCGCTTTCTGTCTCTCTGTCTTTCTCTGTCTGGTGAGCGCACACAGCACACACCCTATAGCAAAAACCTCTCCAAAAAAAAAAAAAGTATATATCAAGCACTAAATATTCTGCTGGGTCCCTGCACCCTGTGAGTTCCACAGTGTAGCCATGGTGATTTTATTTATTTTAATTTGCTTTAGAGGGGCCAGCAGGTAGCATGGTAGTTAAGGCGCTGGACTCCCACATGGCTGATCACGGTTTGAGTCCCAGACCTAGTGGCTTGCTTTCTCATTCTCTCTCTCTCTCTCTCTCTGGTGAGTGCACGTGCTCTACAGCAAGTTGAAAAATAATATATGATAGTAAATAAAATTAAATAAATAAATCTTTTTTAAAAAATTTGCTACAGAACATGTGCGTCCCTCTCTCAGAGAGAGAGAGAGAGAAAGCAAGCCCCAGGGATTATGGCTACACTCCAGTTCCTTCTCTTCCCTTCTCTTGGGATTTGGGGCACACATGTACATGCTCCTAGCATGTCTTTCAAGCTGCAGGTTTTGGATTCAAACCATACAGTCAGCTAAGTGGGATCCAGCCACCTTAACCATGTCACTGGCTGGTCCCCCACTTTGATCTTTTTAAAATAAACATTTTTCTTATTACTGTAAGTTATACATGTCATTGCAAAAAAAAAAAAGAAAGAAAGAAAGAAAAATTAAAATCACAAATATAATACCTAGCGATAACCACTATTTTTAAGCATTGTCCTTTGAATTTTCACTTAATCCCAAATTACCCATAGTATGTGTGAAAAAAAAATATATATATATATATATCTCCATTATCCTGTGAATAGCACCAAGTCTAGAAGGTAGAAAAATAATGAACATTTCACTAAAAAAATATTACATATTTTTGCAGTGCTTGGAATTTTACAGAATAGCTATTTCTTTTATAAACCAATATATTATTTCTTTCTATAGAACATATATAATATTTATATTTGTTTATATCTTACAGAACATATATAACTGGAATTTATTGAACATATATAATATGTATATTTGTCTATATCAATTTATAATATGACAATGTTGTAAATGTAAAGAAAGTTTGTATCATGTTTTAGAAATAGTCCTTTTTTTAAATTTTATTTATTATTATTTTGTAATTTGCTGAAGGGCACATGTGCTCACCAGAAACAGAGGGAGAAAGAGACAGAAAGTGAGAAGCAAGTCACCAGGTCTGGGACTCAAACCATGGTCGGCCATGTGAGGATCCAGCACCTTAACCATCACACCACCTGCTGGCCCTGAAATAGTCTATTTTATAAGACACTAGAAAATTCCCAAAGACCTTCAGGTATAAAAGTTTACTGATTATGTGCCAGTGGCATAAATATTCACCTTTCAAAAAGCGTAGTCATTAGAAAAAATTATCGTACGAGCCATCTTGATGAGATAGGACTAATTCTTCAAAATATTCTTATGTACATAATTTGTACTGTTTCTAAAGATACCTAAATACTAATTCAATAAATGATTTCTTTAAGAAGCAATTTACTTGGGACTGGCATGTGATGTACATTATTAAAATATTCTATTTGCAAAGCAAAGGTGCCTTAAAAGTTACTAATTGCATTTCAGTGTGTGAATCTGCTTTTTCTTGACGTACTCTGTGGCAGAAGTTCTCAAGGAGTTGTTCAGGGCATCTGCATCTACTATACAGCTACTTTCTTGTATGGTAAAATGACTATATTTTTAGATCTGTCATCCTGTTTGCTCTCCCTCCACTTTCTAGACCTGGGTAATTTGTTAACATCTTAATTTACAGGTTGCAAACACCAGAAAGCAATATAATATACAGATTGCTCAACTAACAGAAGAACTTTCAGGCCTTCAGATGGTATGTCAGACGAGTATGTCGTTATTTTCTTCCAAATGTTGCTTATTCTAAAGGCCATGATATAATGGAACATTCATTCATTCAAACAGTACTTATTAAACCAGGACCTATGCTAGATGCTATTGAAAAAAGTGGAATTCCAGATAGGCATATTTTCTTCACTCTGTGGGTACTGGTCCAGCAGGAAAGATAGGTGGCATTTGTCAGGGTTCACTGCAGTCACCTGTCTTTGATGCAGCTCCTGCCAGTTGGTGTGTTCATCTGGGAGACCAGAGAGAAAGAGAAACAGAACGTATGTGTGGCCATAGGAAGGAAGAAAGATAGGAAAGCTTCCAAAAAAAATAAGCACTGAAGAATGAGCAAGCAAAGAGGAACTGGAAATAAAGAACTGGAAATAGTACTTATGAGACTACAGAACAGAACCACTGGGGTTAGAAACGTAAGGTTTAATGAAGTGGAATTAAATAACCTTGCTTGCAGGACAAAAAAAAGTACAAATATTTCCAGGACTTGGGAAGATATTTACAACTTCACAAATTCTTTTTCTAAATCCATGTATCCTTTTTCATCTCTGTTAGAGAATTTCACAATAAATTATATCTTGCAATAAATATTAAGCATTAGTGTATGTTGAGTGTATGTACTTTTTCTCTTCATGAAAATCTTATCTTTCCAATTTTTTATATCATAGACACTTCAGAGTAGGACAGTCTTATGCTTTCTTTATTTTCTCCATTGCCCAATACATTTTCACAGTATATGTTTCAATGTGTACCAACCAAATGATATTTAAACATCTTTAAGAGAGAGATCACATCTTTCCTGTATTCTGTGAAGTCTGTCTGTAGTATACGTAATGGGACCTTCACCATTCTCTATAGGTCCTGAATATAATAGAACAGGTAAACACGATGTTCTTGGAGGCGAACCCACATGGGAGGATTCAGAGTTTCCATTTGAACACTTTTCCTGAGAACGCTGGGCAAGTGCATGCCCTTGTAAAATATATGCATCCAACACTTGATAAATCTGACATTCAGCACCGTGATGTATTACCACTTCACACATAAACAACTCACCATATGAACGTATATGGAAGATGGAAGTTGAATTTCTTAGACAATAAGTGTTCCCTGTTTAATAAAAGATACTAAATTTAAGTCTGTCATCTGATTTGTAACATAGAGTTATAGATCTTCACTATAATTAAAGGTAATTAATTTGGGGTCACAATTTAGAAGCATGCTTTAAAGTTTAAAAACATACTCATGTAACATTAAGGAAAAGATCATTGAATATCATCAGTAATATGCTGTCAGCCGAGCAGTTTATCAGAAGCGTGAGTCACAATGAGTAAAAAATAACCACTGCCACCCTCAGAAATAAGAGGATTAAAAAGTAATTTTGACAAAGACTAACAGTACTGATTTTTTTGGATCTTGTTAGCAAAATATTAAATTTATCAACCATCTGATGGGCCTACTAAATTTATTGATTGAAATTTTTTGAGCAGAGATGTTTTATGTTCATGCTCATAACACATTTGTGGTATTGCTAGTGACGATTTCTAAGTTTCTTAAAGAATAAATGAACTATTTGAGAATGTATGCAGTAATGCACCTTTTAGGCCATAATTTATCCCTAAAGGTATGATGCCACTTATCCAGTTCTGTGTTCTCTTGTTGAGATGTTTGATAGAAGTACATGAAAGTAAAAATTGTAGCGTGAGAAAGCGGTCCCATTTGTTTATTTGTTTCTCCCTGGAATTCCCTACCTCTGTCCCCCACCTAATCTGTTTGATTAGAGCTCCTTGGTATCCTCTAATTGGAAGCAGTTTTTGAAATCCTGGGATAGGCATCTCTTTGAAGGTTGAGTTTTGTTTTCTTTTTAATCAGCACAACATTACTGTACTGATAAGGTAACTGTGATATTTCTGTTAATGAACAAATCATTTTATTTCTTCATTTCTTCCCTATTTTTCTTAAGGTTTACCAAATATATTTATTTACAATATGACTTGAATTTATAGGAGTGTGCTGAAAAACAAGGTCAAATTGAACGGGCCATTAGGGAAAAAAAAGCAGTGGAAGAAGAACTAGAAAAGGTAAAAAGAAAATACAGTTACCTAAAACCCAGCTGTGAATGTTCAGCATTACTGTTTGCTTCTATCACATTTTCTACTAGCAACCCATGTATTTAAGTGTTTAAATGCTGGCATGACCTGAATACATTTCTTTCCCTTTTAAAAAATTTCATATATATATATATATATATATATTCCATCGGCCTTGTGATAGTCCAGCCCCTCAACCACCATGCCACCTGCTGGCCCTGAATGTGTTTCTTTCAAGAGTAGCCATGTCTTCTGAATTTTATACTTAGAGTTACAAATTTTAAAAACCTCTCCCTAGTAGTGAATTTCATTTTGTCTTTCTTTTCTTTTTCAGTTTATGCCAACTTTTATTTTGTTTAAGCCATCTATAAATATAATATATGTATGGGAAGTACCTTCAAAAATTTAATGGACAATTTGTATTATGAAAAAACGGTTCATGGATTTCAAATTTTTCTGTACTAAAATAAGCTCATACTTTAATTCCATATTTCCATGAGCTTTTGAAGTCTCCTCATCTATATAGAAAGTTATAACATTGCTGTTTTCCACCTTTTAAAAGTACAGATTTTTATCTCATAGTTAGAAAAGATATTTATCCCACTGTTATTTGAGAAAAACTATTGGTGAAGTAGATAGTTTAAATTTTATTTCTTCCTTACACACCTTTTTATTAATAGTAAATATCCCACTCTTATTAAATGCCTTAGGAAAAGAAGAGAACCAAATTTGAACACTTACTTGTTTTAAGTACTCATAAAGAAATTAAGTAACTTGCCCAAAATCATATATGAGAGAGTCAGAGTTTTCTTTTCTTTTTTTTTTTTTAAGAGGTTTTTTTCCATAGGGCACGTGTGCTCACCAAAGAGAAACAGTGAGAGGAGAGGAAAAAGCAAAAGCCCCCCCATTCCAGGGGAGATGGCCCCACAACAGTCCTTTCTCCATTCTCCTCCTGGGATTTCAGGCATACATGCACATGCACCCAGTGTTTTTTTTGTTTTGTTTTGTTTTTCGTTTTTTTGTGGGTTTTTTTTGGAGAGATTTTCACTATAGGGCGCGTGCGCTCGCCAGACAGACAGAGAGAGACATTAGAGACAGAAAGCGAGAAATCACCCCCCAGGGGGGATGGTCACGCCGCAATCCCTTCTCCTCCATTCTCCTCTCGGGATCTTGGGCACGCACGCACACGCGCCCAGCGTGAGTTTTAAGCCACCGGGTCCGGGACACGAACCGCGGTCGACTACGTGGGAGTCCAGCGACATAGTCATTACGCTAACTGCTGGTTCCTCCAGTGTTATTTTTCAAGCTACCAGTTCTGGGACTTGAGCTGCAGTCAGCCATGTGAGAGTCCAGTAACATAACCACTAGACCATCTGCTGGCCCCCCAGAATTTGATTTTCAAGAAAAGCTATGTAGTATAAAAATCATGTGATAAATTTATATTATCAGCCTGGAAAAATTATAATAGCATCAGATAATAAAAAGATCATTTACAGAACAGAATATAGTGTACAATCCCATGCAGAAAATATGTACACATCTTCCAAGTGGAACTGTTATGGTCGCCATGGTCCTGCAAGGCTAGCTCCTTCTGAGTTTCCATCTGTCATATCAAATACTACTACTACATATATATATATATATATGGGTTGGGGATGAATTTTTAAGTATCACATGGTATAGGTTAAGGAATGGACTTTCTTGGGGAAATGTGAAACTTACAAGGCTAACAGCAACAGGTAAAGAAAAGGCCTAGCTCCCTGCTCTTTCCCTGTTGTAGACCCATGTGCTGAGGTCACAGGAGTGCTGGGTCTGCAGGTAGGTGTCTACTCTAACAGAAGAGCATTGATGTGCTGGTCCTCCACCTTTGTGTAGAGTAAGAGTGACAAAGCAGTCTTGTCACTGAGGAAGACAGACACAGGTTACTTGACCCAGGCAGTGTAGATGCGGCGGGTAACTGTGCATAGGATTTGTCACAGGGTGGGTGCTCCCTAGCACCTGAAACCTTGGTCTCTTAAGATGTCACAGTCCTTGTGTTGTTAAGAGGAAGCCTCATCTAATGAGAAACTGAGCTAGGTACAACCACTCCTTCTGGGGCAGAAGGCACCCACATTCAAGGTAGATCATTGTCTCAAGGAGTGTTCATCAAAGAATTACCAATGGATATATATATATGTGTCGACATTTAGAGTAGGGTTTCTTTATGTGTCCGTTATTAAATAATTATTTTATTTAACTTTATTTATCTATTTATTTATTTATTTTTAATTTGGCCAGAGAGGGACAGAGTGAGAGAGAGAGGGAAAGTGAGAAAGCAAGCTGCCAGGTTCGAGACTTGAACCATGGTCAGCCATGTGGGAGTCCAGTGTCCTTAACCACCACTCCACCTGCCCTAGAGTAGTGTTTTTTAACTTGAGCATTTCTTTATTATTTGAACAGTTTGCAATGATTATAAATAATTTCAAACAATAAACAATTATTGCTGTGTCAGTTTCCATTATTTATTTTGTAAATAGAAAACAACCAAAATTAATTGTTTATATGTTTAGTATGTTACCATAGGAACAGATGAGCACATTGGATCATGGTTCTTTTCTTTGTTTTTTGCCATAGGGCATGTGTGCTCACTGGGAGACAGAGAAAGTGAGAAATCAGCACCACCCCCCGACCCCAGTGGATAATTTCTGCAACCCTTTATCCTCTGGTGATTTAGGGCACACACATGCGCCTGGCGTGATTTTTAAGCCAAGGGGTCCAGGACTCAAACCATGGTCAGCCATGTGTAAGTCCAGCACCTTAGCTACCACTCCACCTGCTGGACCCTTAATCATGGCTTTTTATTTGTCATAATTGATTTCAGTTTCTAAACTGTATGACTTATTGAGACACTTTCCTTCTGGGAGATAATGTATACATAGTCCTCTTCTTCAGATTTACCGTGAAGGCAGAGGAAATGAAAGTAATTACAGAAAACTGGAAGAAATGCACCAAAGATGCTTGGCTGCAGAACGTTCAAAGGATGATCTTGAGCTAAGACTTAAGAGAGCAGAAAATAGAATGAAACAACTTGAAATTAAGTAAGTTTTTCCTTTCTCTCTCGCCCATTTTTCTTTTCAGTAGAGCTACTAGTTTATCTTATGAGGGGAAAAAACTTTAACCAAATTTTCTTTTTTGCAAAACTTTTTCTTTTTTTTGAGAAGTTTTCGCTATAGGGTGCGTGCGCTCGCCAGATGGACAGACAGAAAGAGACATAGAGACAGAAAGCAAGAAATCTCCCCCCAGGGAGGATGGTCACACCACAATCCCTTCTCCTCCATTCTCCTCTTGGGATCTTGGGCATGCACGCACATGCACCCGGCGTGAGTTTTAAGCCACCAGGTCTGGGACACGAACCATGGTCGACTACGTGGGAGTCCAGCGACGCTAACTGCTGGTTCCCGCAAAACTATTTTTGAACACTAACTTCTTCAAGAAGAAAATATTTAACAGGAGCATACAATTTTAAGTGTACCCTTTCTGGAGCTCATCCCATGGCCTGGTGGTTAAGGGAGCTAGATCCCACGTGGCTGACCATGGTTCAAATCCTGGTCTCGTTGACTCAGAAAACATATCAGGAACATGTGAGTGCATGCCCAAAATTCTGCCAGGATAGAGAAATGGAAGAGAGGGATTGCATCCAGATCACGCCCCACTGGCAGGTGCTTTCTTCCTCTCCCTCTCTCTCTGTCTTTCTGTCTTTCTGGCAAATGCATGCACCCACTGTGAAAAAACATCATCCTTTCTGGCAATTAAATAGAATGTTCATGATTGGATTTTTTTTCATTCTAGCTCATTGCTTGATTATAATTATTGTCCTGTTTCTTGTAGTGTTAAATATTCCATAGTGATCTGTCGTATTTATTTATTAAATTTTCTTTTTCTTTTTTGGTTTGTTTATTTTTTTGCTTTGCCAGTGGGTACATGCACTGGCCAAGAGAGAGAAAGAAAGTGAGAAAGCCCACCATGGGGCATGATCATGCTGCAATCCCTTCTCCTCCATTTCCGTCCTTTTGGAATTTTGGGCACACACCACGTACACCTGTCCCCAGTGTATTTTTCAGGTCACCAAGTTAAGGACTCAGACCATGCGGTTAGCCATATATGATCCAGCTGCCTTAACTACCATGGGCTGGCCCTATTTATCACATTTTCTGTAAAAATGATAAAAGTTATAATACAGCATATCCATTTTGAGTATTTTTCTACCTTTTCTTCGCAATGAATTATTTAATACAGTAAAACATATATTTGAATTGCCTGAAATTTCAACTGCCATATAAATTTTGAAAAGATATGTTTTAAATAAAGACTGTTCATTTCTTTAGAATACATCTAATACTAAGTTACTTAATAAAGCTTTTTTTCCTAAAGGAATTCTTTCGGATTTGTTTCATAAATATATATGTAATTTTAAATAATCTATTTGGATAATCTGTCTGTGTGATTACTTCTAAAACAAGCATACAAGAGTATACATTTTCTTGAATGTAGTAAGCAAAGGATCACACATGAAGGCTTCTCCCAATACCATACATTCATAGGACTTCTCTCCAGTGAGTGTTCCCATGTCTTAAGAGAGAAATATTGAGTGAAAACACTCCCACCCTCACATGGTCTCTCTGCAGTATGAGTTTTACTGTGGATGGGAGTAAGATGCATTGGTGGAATCTTCTTCATGTTCCTCAGATCTTGAAAATTTTTCTCTAGGGCGAATTGTCACATATTTTCTAAAAACAACGTGAGCAAAGAAACCTTTCTTTATTGCTTTTATTCATAGTGTTTCTCTCCAGTATAATTTCACATATGTCTCTTAACTATCCTGGGAACACTGAAGGCTTTCCCACATTTCTTACATTCTTGGGATTTTCCTTTAGTTGTGTGTTCACATGATGAATGTTTTACAGTCACTTGAGTCAAAGGGTTTCATTTGAATGTGAATTCTATCTACTTCTCATTCCAGGAGCACTGTGCTTACTATGTTTAAGCCTCTTTTCATCTCTATTGCTCTTTTTTCTTTTTTCCTTTTTTTTTGTCCAAATAATTTGTTGAAAAAAAAAAAAAAACAAATTCTTTGTAGTATAGCTTTTTTTTCCTACTACGTATATGTATGTCATTTGCTTTATTTCCCTATCTCATGTAGTTCCTCAAAACTATATAACAAAGAGGCTTGCTCCAGTCCATCTACCGTGTGTCATAGGCATTCTTCATAGCTGGTATCGCAGACTAAACTTACCTTCAAGGCACATAAAGTGTGGTCGTTTCTTATCTCAGCATCTTTCTGATCTTAGCCTTTTATTGTCATTGCCTACATACATCATTTCATTAGGAACTTTATCAGCCTAAGTTTAAATAGCAAAAAGAGCTACAAATATTACGGGGAATAAAGTATTTAATGTAAGAGTCAGAACTTACAGGCAGGTAGGAGACTGGGGAAGCGAAGATCCAGAAGGACAGACGTAGAGGTCAGAGAAGGCCACTGTCCATATCTATGTTTTTTGTTTGTTTGTTTGTTTGTTTGTTTTTTGGAGAGATTTTCACTGTAGGGCACGTGTGCTCGCCAGACAGAGAGACATAGAGACAGAAAGTGAGAAATCACCCCCCAGGGGGTATGGTCACGCCGCAATCCCTTCTCCTCCATTCTCCTCTCGGGATCTTGGGCACGCACGCACACGCACCCGGCGTGAGTTTTAAGCCACCGGGTCCGGGGCACGAACCGCGGTCGACTACGTGGGAGTCCAGCGACATAGCCATTACGCTAACTGCTGGTTCTCTCCATATCCATGTGAAGCACGAGTCGATCTGGTTAAGTCATACTGCTGAAGTAGAACCATGAAGGTATGATTCATGGTGCTAAAACTGCCTCCATGCGAAAGCTATTACTCTTTTTAAGCATTTTTATCTTCACAGTATCTTTAAGCAGTAGTTTTCTTAAGCCATGACAATGTTAGTAGCATTTATATTCCTTGTAACATCTATTGACCAAGGAATGTTCATAGTGCTTGATATCTGTGATTGAAAATGTGAAAATTTTATGATAAAAATAAAAAACAGCAAATCAGTTGAACCAATATACATGTATAAAAAGTGTTCTTACCCAATAATCCATTGTTAAGAAGGTTCAATAAATATAACCTATTTAACCTATGATAACAAATTTGTAGAAGTAGAAGTTGATAAAAATATTTCTAAGGCATGTAATGGGAAAATAGAAAGATAGAGCTTGTCATTATAATTGACTAATGCAGTCAGCTGTTGTGTTTTTCTATGGACTTTACTGATAAAGTGAAGGAATTTTGCTTATTACCTTCTTCATCTGTTTTACTGTTGGCTTCACTTTGTTTCCTTGAAGTGCCCTTGCACAGTGATTTTTCAATGTTGATTTTCACGTTGATTTCACATTCATTTTCTAGATGAGTGAAAACAGTTCAATTTACCTACTCTTAGTTAAGATGGTAAGTTGAAAGTATTTGCCCAGTATAACCTAACATTTTGAAACCACGTGTTAGATGGTTTGAGACTAAAGCAAAAAGAAATGGCTCAGAAAAAAAAAAACAACTCTGTACTATAAAATACAGGCAGACTTCTGGACTTCTCCAACAGATCATTAAGTTTAACGATTCTTCTTGTTTTGTTTTATTTAATCAGTTCCTCAGAAGAGATATCACGTTCCCAAGAAATGATTCAGAAACTTCAGAATGTACTGGAATCTGAGAGAGAGAACTGTGGATTTGTCAGTGAAGAAAGGCTAAAACTTCAGCAAGAAAATGAACAATTACAGAAAGAGGCTGAGAATTTACGAAAGATTGCTCTGGAGGCTCAAAAAAAAGCCAAATTAAAGGTATTCTAAAGAAAGTCAGCGTTAAATGTGTACTTGAATATCAAGGTATAGCAAATATTCAGAGAGAACTTGTAAAACAAGGCTTTTTTTTTTTTTGCCTTCTCATCAGATAGCACTAAATCATAATTCAGAGTGTTAACCAGTCATTTCTGCATTGTGGAACTTGGCAGGCATACTCGAAAATGATTGGCTTCACTATCCACACATACAAAAAAAATTCTTCTTCAACCATGAAGTACACCGATATTCCTGCCAAACTGATACAAGCAACGCTAGCGAAACTATAGATTAGATAACTTTACAGACTGCCTTCTCCCAGTTCCCTCAATAATAGCCTCTCAAAAATTGAACTTTTCTGAAACTGTCTAGCGGATGTTACATCAGTATGCCCTGAAAACCATTCATAGCTACTCTGAAAATTCCACACCAGGAAGCCAGGGGCAAATGTTTCATCTAAAACAAAGTTCTTTTCTTTTGTTTAATACTTATATGCTTTGGTAATAGGAACATGATAACCTCCTTAAGGGAGTTTTAAGAAATGCACATATCTCTTTGATATTGTGCATACCTTTCCTGATTCCATGAGACTTTTATAAAAAAGTGGCACTAACTTTTTATGATGAAGATCTAAATATTTATTTATTTATTTATTTATTTATTTATTTATTTATTCTTTGAGAGAGATTTTTGCTATAGGGCATTTGTGTGCACAAGAGAAACAGAAAGTGGGAACTCAACTCCCAAGGAAGGATGCCACACCGCAATCCCTTCCTTTCCCTCCATACTCTTCTTGATATGTTGGGTATGCACACACATGCTCCCAGTGTTAGTTTCAAGCTGCCAAGTCCAGGACTCAAACCACAATCAACCATGTGTCCAGCACCTTAACCACTATGTGACCTGCTGGCCCCAATATCTGCATCTTTCAAATTCATAATAAGGATATGGTCTAGTAGTATTAGTGGTTTACTTTAATTTTTGTTGCTTCAAATAATCATAAGAAGTCACATTCCAATCTAATTTCTAATAACATTCATTTTTTGAATCCCTTTCATTACCAGTGATTAAACCATGTAGTTACTTAACTTGAACTCTGAAATGAAAAAGACAGTCATATATCATTTCAAGAACTTTGCATTATATGCTTTAGGTTGTGAGAAGTCTTTGAAGAACAAAGAGAGGAACTTCTTACCAGATATAAAGATTTGATATAAAGCTACAGTAGTTAACTGAGTATGATATTGACATAAGAATAATCAAATTGATCAATGGTCAGAAACAACCGTTTTTCTCATAATCACCTGATTTATAACAAAAGCACTGCTCCAGTTCTTTGGGGGAGAAGTTGTCTTTATAATAAATGATGCAAAGTCATTTGAATCCATACTTTACAAAAGAACGTTGGCTCCTTTATCACACCATATGTGCAAATTAACCCAGGCTGCCTGTAGACCTAAATATGAAATGTAAAACAATGGCATTTCAAGGAGAAAATGTTCATCTCCTAGGTAGATATATTAGTTCATTACTGCATTACTAAACAGAAATACCTGAGACTGGGGTTTATTTGGTTTATGATTCAGGTGGCTGGACAGTCTGGAGGGGCCTGCATCAGGCCAGCCTCTGTGCTACACCGTGACATGGCTGACGGCAGAGTAAGGTGGGCACATGCAGAGAGAGAGGAAACAGAATCCCATTTTATCTCTGCCATGCTCTAGTCAATTGCATCGTGCTTTGCTATTAGGCCCCCTTTTTAAAGGTCTCACTACCTCCCAAAAACATTGCACTAGAAACTAAGCATTACACTTGGGAACAATATCCAGAAATAAAGAACAGTTTAATTATGATATATCAGGACCAGCAGATGGCGTAATGGTTATGTTGCTGGACTCCCACGTAGTGGTAGTGCCGGACCTGGCAGCTTAACACCAGGCACATGTGCGTGTGGTACCCGAAATCCCAAGAGGAAAATGGAGGAGAAGGGATTGTAGCATGGTCACCCCCCTCCAGGGAATGATTTCTCACTTTCTATCTCTCTGTCTCTGTCTCTCCATTGAGCACACGTGCCCTATAGCAAAAATCTCTCTCAAAAAAATTTATGATATATATACAATGTCTTTAAATTATTAAAAACATTATTTCCAAATATTTTATGTTGCATTTATATTGCTGTGTCCTAAATTTTAAAATGCACACACACAGAGAATATTCTTTTGTACAATATAACCACAATTTCTAAATTCATAAATTAAAAAAAAGAAAGGAAACGTAGAAGTTTTAAGTGGTTATCTGAGTTGTAGGATTACAGAGACCTCGTAGTTGTCTTTTTCATGTGTTTTCCATAATTTTACAATATACGTGTGGTTTCATTTTTTGGTTTTTTTCACAGTGAGGAGGAGATGGAATCAGTGAGTTCCCCCTACCCATAGCCCATTTAATCCATTTTTAACATGTCAGGATAGTAACTAATATTTTGGAGGACAAAGGGATGACAGCGTATTTTCTCACATATCGCTTCAAATCTGGATCTAGTTTAAGAGATGAATCATTGATAAATAAGGAGCATAACCTTTTAACGGGATTGTTGTAATGCTGTTTTATGGAAGAAGGTGGCACTCAGATAAACTGCTGCTTTGTAGCTGATTCTTTTTTTGCCAAAATAGGAACCTAGTGCTACATTTTGCTTCTTTTCTCCCTCTTGAAAAAGCAACCAAAAGATAAAGACAGGGAGATACTGGGAGGTCAGTGACTGCAAACCTTACCAGTTTGTTATTTCAGGTTTTCATGTATCTGAAAGCTACTGCTTTCCTTTCACCCTCGCTTTCTCCTTTCTAAACTACTCCTGTCTTTCTGCCAAGGATTCTGTTCCTTTGTGATCTAAATACCTCTTATAAGTATCTAAAATTAAGACATAGAGTAGTTTTTTTGTTTTTGGAATTTGGGTTTTTAAGAGAGATTTTTGCAAGAGGACACGTGTGCTCGCCAGAGAGAGATAGTCAGAAAGTGAGAAATCACCCCCCAGGGTAGATGGCCACGTGGCAGTCCCTTCTTCTCCAGTTTCCTCTCCGGATTTTTAGCATGCATGCACATGCACCCAGCATGAGTTTGAAGCTGCCGGGTCAGGGATTTGAACCTCAGTCGACCGTGGGAGTCCAGGGATGTAACCATTACAGCATGTGCTGGTCCCAAGACATGGAGTAGTTTTCAACAGTCCTGCTATCTATTTTATGAGCATTACTCTGCAGTGGAACACACAAAGGAAAAAAAAAGGGGTGGGGGGACCATAAATCCCTTTTCCTACCTAAAATTCTGAATTTCATCATTAATGGGATTTTTGTGGTAGTGTATCCAATTTATGTGGTCCTTAGCCTTCCAACATCACTACAGGCCTGTTCAGTTGAGCAGTTGAATTTGTATCAGCTATAGGTTCTAGAATATGACATTTTAAAAAGCCATCATTTATTGAACCTATAAATGAATTATAACAACCTTACAATCCTGGTGCTGAAGATACGGTGGTAAAGTAAACAGATATGGCGCCTACCTTTATAAACAAAATTAGTGTAATGGCTATACTGCTGAACTCCCATGTAGCCGACCATAGTTCAAGTCCCAGACCCGGTGGCCTAAACTCACACTGGGCACGTGTGTTTGTGTGTGTGCCCAATGTCCGGAGAGGAGAATGGAGGAGAAGGGATTGCAGCGTGGCCATCCCCCTTGAGGGGTGATTTCTTGCTTTCTGTCTCTCTGTCGCTCTCTGTCTCTCTGGCGAGGGCACGCACTCTATAGCAAAAACTTCTCAAAAAAAAAAAATTTGCATAAATGTGGGTATGCTGTAAACATCATTGTAAACTAACAAATGCTTTTTTTCAGAAAAGCATAGGGTACTGTAAGAGATTAAAAAAAGACTTGACTTTATCTAGTCAGGTGGTAAAGAACTTATGTAAGGGCCAGCAGGTGCCATGGTGGTTAAGGTTGCTGAACTCCCACATGGCCGATCCAGTTCAAGTCCCAGACCTGGCAGCTTGCTTTCTCACTTTCTCTCTCTCTCTCTCTCTCTCTCTCTCTCTCTCTCTCTCTCTCACTCACCCACAGTGGTCAAATTAAAATAAATAAATAAATAATTTTTTAACAAAACTTCCATATAGAAACAGTAATTGAGCTGAATTGTAAAAGCTGAATAGAAATATCTAAGATAAGCAGGAGGGGGGAAATTATTCAGGCAAAAATAACAACATGTGAAAAGAATGAGAAGACATTCTAGAGGAAACAAAGGGTGCAGAAGAAATGGTGGCAGTACACAAGCATGTTGAAATCAGCAGGGATCCACTTACCATGAAGGAAGGGCCTTAGAGCAAAGCTTTGCACACTATCCATAGCTTATCTAAGTGGCGGAAGGGAGTTAACTAGGAGGACAAAGTTCTGAAACTCCAAAGATGCAGACACCAGTTTTTCTTTTTTGGTTTTTTAAGAGAGAGATTTTTTTTTTTTTTTGCCTTAGGGCGGGTATGCTCACAGAAGAGATAGAGAGATGGAAAGCAAGAAATCACCCTCTGGGGGGATGGCCATGCCACAATCCCTTCTCCTCCATTCTCCTCTTGGGATTTTGGACAGACACTCACACATGCCCAGTGTGAGTTTTAAGCCTCTGGGTCCAGGACTCAAACTGCAGTCGGCTACATGGGAGTCCAGCAACATAACCATTACACCATCTGTTGGTGCTCAGACCAGTTTTTAATACATGTATAGGAGACAGAGACAAACACTGACAGAAGCTGAGCTTTTTGTTTTCTTCCTCACATGCTAGGGCTTTGGCTTCTCTTCAGAAAGTGGAAATTGAAGCAGGGAAAGAGGAAGAGAAAGTTCACATCAAAATATGCAGAATTGGGACCAGCAAGTGGCATGGAGGTTGGGGTGGTGGACTCTCCACATGGTCAACCACAGTTCAAGTCCCAGACCTGGCAGCTTGCTTTCTCTCTTTCCTTCTCTTTCTCTCTCTTTCTCTCTGTCTCTTTCTGCTCAAATTAAAATAATATTAACAACAAATGGAATTAAATAAATTCTTTTAAATAAGTAAAAAAGCAGAATTTAGTAATTCAAAAATTACCAAAATTACAGCAATGGCTAAGGGACCTCAGGATGTTTGCACAGCAGAAATACAACACGAAGTTACTAAGACCAAGGTTGTTTGTGTGTTGCTTTATGAAGTTAGAAAGCAAATGAAAGGGACCAGCAGTTGGTGTAATGGCTATGTCGCAGGACTCCTATGTCGTCGACCGCATTTCGAGTCCTGGACTCGGTGGCTTAAACTCACGCCGGGCACATGTGCGTGCATGCCCAAGATCCCGAGAGGAGAATGGAGGAGAAGGGATTGTGGCGTGGCCATCCCCCCAGGGGATGATGTCTCGCTTTCTGTCTCTCTTTCTGGTGAGCGCACACACCCTATAGCAAAAACCTCCCCCCAAAAAAAGAAAGCAAGAGATTTAGGAAGCGCACTGCACTTAGCAGGAGTGGTGAGGATAAGATAGTTGCAGTTTCCCCCAAGAGCCATGCATCTAATTATTATCAGATATTGTTTGGTGTTTCTTAGTTGGTAAAGTTTAGTTTCTTACTTGTTTAAGTTTGAAAGTTATCATTTTTAATGAATAGTCAGAAGCCAAGCTAGATGTGCCCATTTTTTAAGCTTTTTTTTTTTTTTTTTTTTTTTTTGGAGGGGGGAGGTTTTTGCTTTAGGGCATCAGGAGAGAGGTTTTTGCTGTAGGGCATATGCACTCTCCAGAAAGAGAGAGAGACAGAAAGACAGAAAGTGAGAAATCACACCCCTGAGAAGGATGGCCACACCACAATCCCTTCTCCTCAATTCTCCTCTTGGGATCTTGGGCACGCACACACACGCCCAGCGTGAGTTTAAGCCGCCGGGTCTGGGACTTGAACTGTGGTCAGCTACATGGGAGTCCAGCGACATAGCCATTACGCTAACTGCTGGTCTCATAAACATATTATTTTTAAATATCACAAGATAGGTGTTCTTTTAAATTATTTCACTAGTTTAACAAGATAAAAATGACCTGAAAAAGGTATCAAAGACATTAGGTCACCTTTCAGCCTTTTCCCAACAGTTTTTTGTTGTTGTTTTTCCCTGAACCAAAGAGCACAGAAAATTATTGCAGTTAAGTATTTTCTCAGCTGTCTGAAGGACGTACCTAGGTAGTGACACTGTAGATAGGCATGAGTAAAGGCAATTCACTGTCTATGTTGGATACTTTAAGGCATTTGGGCTTAATTCCATCCCAGAACACCAATCAGGAAAGCTTCAAGGTTGTTCAAAGAGCCTTTACTTGTATGTTCTTCTTCATGAAGGGGGTTTCACTATAATTACAGAAATGCCTAGAAATATACTGAAGATATTTTCATGTGAGATTCTGAAACTCATTATTTATCTTTTTTCCTGAAAAAAAAATTCATTGATACTGCATCTGAAGTGGTAAAAAGGAATTTCTTTATTTTCTTTTACTTTACAAAGCCCTTGGAAAGATGATCTGAAATTAGTATATAAGTCATAAATGCTTTGAATAAAAATCTAAGTGAACATTTCCTACAGACCCTGGCAACAAAAGTAAGATGAGACAAAGAGAGCAGTTTCATGTTACATAGTAAGCCGTTTTTCCTCTGGCATTTTAAATTGTTGGGGAATGGATTGCAAAAAAATTGTAGTCTGTTATAATCATAGTTGTACCAAATTTTATTATAGGATAAGTCTTAATTTATGATGAAGACAAGTTATAGACGCAGTAATTTTGCAGATTATAAGAAATATAAGATACCTCTTACGTAGATTTCTCATTGAAACATTTCTGTGCCTTACACAACACACAGAGGGATTCCTTTTGTGTATATCATTGATTGGTGCATCTCCTGTAGTATTAGAAAAGGGGAAAAAAGTCTGTTTTCATTTATTCTTTAGATCAGTACAATGGAACATGAATTTTCAATAAAGGAACATGGGTTTGAAGTTCAGCTGAGAGAGATGGAAGACAGTAATCGGACTTCCACGGAGGAACTGAGGCATCTCTTAGCGACTCAGCAGAAGGCAGCCAATAGGTGGAAAGAAGAAACAAAGAAACTTACTGAAAGTGCAGAGATTAGAATCAGTAATTTAAAGTAAGTCCTTTATTCATTGTGTGCCACATTGTACAGGGGCAGGGGGAGTGACTTTACGTATAGTTAAATACACTTGTCATAATCTTCTTGTAAAAATGTATAATTCCGAGCCCACATGTGGTGGTGCAAGTGGGAGGGCATCACTGCACTGACCCCCGTGGGAGGCTCAGGTTCAGTTCCCAACCCCGCCTAGTCAGGCCAGGTACAGTGGCATGCTCCTGGAGTCCCAGCTAGCTGGGGTGCTGGGGCAGGAGGAGGGTGACCTGGTGAAACCCTATCAAAAGAATCTCTTGGGGCTAGCAGGAAGCATAGTGGTTACGGTGCTGGATTCCCACATGGCCGACTGCAGTTCAAGTCCCAGACCCAGCAGCTTGAAACTCATGCCAGGCATATACATGTGTGTGGCCCAAAATCCCAGGAGGAGAAGAAATGATGGTGTGGCCCTCCCCCTACCAGAGGGTAATTTCTCACTACCTCTGTCTTTCTTTGTCTCGCACATACCCTTTCAAAAACCTTAAAAAAAAAAAAAAAAACCCTTTCTCTCCCCACCCTTTCACCTTCCCCTCACTTTCCCTATCTCTCTCCATCTCTCTTACACTTACATTACCACACACTTTTTCATTTAAAAAATTTGGCCAACTGGTGGCAAGGTGGCTTGATCCCACACAGCCAATGTCATGGTCCAGGTCCCAGACCAGAGACCTGAAAACACACCAGACACATTTGCATGAGAAAGGATTACAGTGTAGCCATCTCCCCTGGGAGGGGATGCTTTCTCACTCCCCCCATCCACCTTATCTATCTCCAGTGAGCATATACATGGTGTAACAACAACAACAAAAAGATTTCATGTAATTCTGGTTCTTGTACTTGCATTTTTTAATTCAGAAAGTATTTATGAGCTATAGGTTGGGTAGCCCTTATCCAGGTGTCTGGGACTTTGCATTGGTGCGTGTAGTGGTAAGCACTGCTGCTTACAAATGTGTGCACAGAGATGTTTCCGATTTTATATTTTTCTGATTTGGGAATATTTGCATTTACATAATGAGATACCTTGGGGTTAGGCTCCCAAGTCTAAGCAAATCTCTCTGTCTCTCTCTGTCTTTCTGGCGAGTGCACACCCTATAGGAAAAACCTTTAAAAAAAAATTACAGTGTTTAATCTATACTATAAAAATGTTAAATAATATAAATTGAAACAAATATTGTATATTTTTGTAAATTTCATGCATATCCCACACAATACAATTACTTTTGTTGAGCAGAGCAGTTTAAAATCTTTTTTTTTTTAAGAATTATTTTATTTGTTTATTTATGTATTTATTATTTTTTTGGAGAAGTTTTGCTATAGGGCACATGCGCTTGCCAGAAAGAGAGACAGAAAGCAAGAAATCACCCCCGGGGGGATGGCCACACTGCAATCTCTTCTCCATTCTCCTCTCGGGATCTTGGGCACGCACACATACACACACACACACACCCCCAGCATGAATTTAAGTCACCGGATCCGGGACTCGAACCATGGTCGACAGCATAGGAGTCCAGCAACATAACCATTACGCCAACTGCTGGTCCCTTTTTTAAAAATTATTATTTTTTAATTTGATCAGAAAACGAGAGAGAGAAAGGGAAATGAGAAAGCAAGTTGCTAGGTCCGAGATTTGAACTGCTGCTACCACGTGAGAGTCCACCACACCACCTGCCAGCTGCACAGTTTAGAATCTTAATGCTGTTTTGGTGTAGCAAAATGTTTTATAATTGCGACACAGTTCTTTGGCCAGCAAAGCCTAAAATATTTGCTTTTGGTACCTTTAAGAAAAAGTTTGCTGACCTTTCCTGAGAAAGAATCTTGGGACTTTTTTTTTAAGGGTTATTTAATTAAATTAATTTATTAATTTTAATTTGAACAAAGAGGGACAGAGTGAGAGAGAGCGAGAAAGTGACAAGGCAAGACTCCAGATCTAGGGTTTGAACTACGGTCGGCCATGTGCAAATCCAGCACCCTTAACTACCACGTCACCTGTCAGCCCCAGAACTTGGGATTTTTTTTGCTGAATGAAGTGGGCAGCACAAGAGTTCAAGACGGGTATGAGTTTAGCAGACTTAGAGTAAGCTTATGTAATCACACTTACATGTTTAATAGGTGTCTTTGACCACTGTAGTGGGCTGTAGTGACCCTAAAGTTTTGCTCTAAAAAAATAAAGTTCACTAGAAAAAAAGAGCAGACTATAAGGGATGTTGATCAGTGAGAACAAAATTATACTTAGATAAGAAGAACAATTTTTTTAGTGTTGTAAAACACAGTAGGGAGAACATAGTTCACAGCCTACTCTCTATCTCAGAGTAACCAAGAAAGCAAATTCTGAACGTTCCTAACACAAAGTGATGGCAAATGGTTAAGATGACGAGTACACTAATTACTCTGACTTAATCGTCATCGTCCACACTGCACTCTTGTACGGAAAAATTACATTGTATCTTTATTGATATGTACATTTGTAATATATCACTAAAAAACAAATACATTTTTACTAATTGAAAAAAATTAATAGGCTATAATAGGTACCAAGAGAAGAAGGGAGCTAGAGACCAGTATTGTTATAGTCCAAGTGTGAAATGATGGTGACTTGGACTGCATTTTTAAAGGTTGGAGATAATCAAAAAAGTTTGGATATGCTGCCCAAGGGACATTTAATACAGTATTAAATGACTGACTGATACCCTGGTCAGTAGTGTATGTAAATTTGGCATTCAGGAGAGAGACTGCAACAAGAGCTATAAGTTACGTAATTGTTAACATGCCTATGATTTTTAAAGTCGTGGGAAAAGAACATGTTGAAAAAGAGTACAAGAGCGCCCCTCCCCCCATCCAGTTTCTCCTTCTGCATTTTCACTTACCTGCTTGTACAGTACAATAGATATTTTAAGAGAGAGAATTTTTTTTATAGACCACAGATTAGTTTATTTTTAATACCCATCATGCCATGAATTCATAGGGAATAGGTTCCAGTAGCTCAGGCTCCTTTCCATTGGGTCTCACAAAGTGTGCTTCTCTGGGCGGAGCTGGCTGGCGCTTCAGTTGAACCCAGGTAACTTTCTCTTTGGCTTCCTTCTTTCTCTGGTCATTTTCCTTCACATGTTTTAGCAAGCTATCTCTGCTCCTAGAATGCTTACTATGTTCAATATGCACAATAATTCTCTTGGCAAGAATCTTGCCCTTAACTTGTTTATTCACAACAATGCCAACAGCATGCTGGGTGGGTAACATTGTAGACTCTTCCAGTTTTGCCATGGTAACATTTGTGGGGCATTCCTTTTTGAACGATACCCATTCCCTTGATGTCTACATTATCACCTTTCCTGTAGATTCGCATGTATGTTGCCAAAGGAATAACTCCATGTTTTCTAAAAGGCCTAGAGAACATATATCAGGTGCCTCTCCTCTCTCCCTTTGTGTTCGTCTCTTTCCCTGAGAGAGACAACTTTCACATAACTTTTATTATAGTATTTTGTTATAATTGTTATAATTCTATAGTATTTGTTATAATAATCTATTTTATTAGTAGTTACGGTTATTATCTCTTACTATACCTAATCTATAAATTAAACTTTATTGTAGATATGTATGTATAGGGGAAAACAGGTCTCTATGGGGTGAGTTTGGTATTATGCAATGTTTTAGACATCCACTTGGGGGCTCTTGGAACATATCTCCCATGTGGGGGACTACCAATATAAATACAGAAATGAAGCTACCAGAGGACTAAGTCTAAAATTTAAAGTTTAGAGCGATAAACATACCACTTAAAGAAGTTGAGAAAGAATATCCAGTGTAATAAGAATCAAGACATAATGGTAAAAAAATAAAATAAAATCAGAAAGAGAATTTGCTATAATGGTTAGTATTTAGTAAGCACTGAATGTGTTGTATTGCTCTAAGTAAATTACATGTATTTATCTGTATGTCAGTGCCACAATGCATTTAACATATTTTACAGATAGGGAAACTGAGGCAAAGGGAGGTTAAGGAACTTGTTCAAGGTAACATAGGTAATGGAGTGGCAGATTCTGGCTTCAAATTCAGTTGGGTTAAAGACAGTATGCTTTATTTGTTTGTTTATTTTTGTGAGGACAATATGCTTTTAACTGTTATTTTTATAAAAAGCTAAAAGTTTATAGGTTGAGGAGGGTGAGAACTGAGAATAGATCTTTCAGTTTGGTGCCATGTAGGAATCTTTGTTAACCACAATAAGGGAGTTTTGGTGGGATGCTGAAATTAAATGTATTTATAATGAAAGACAATTTCTACTTCCATTTTATGGTGAGCTAGACAATTTAAACCAATACTCCACCACAACTGAAAAAGTTAGATGAATTGTAAAAAGTATCTGATAGCCCAGCTTGGTGGCCTAGTCCATAGCAAATTGAACTGCAGTGCTGGAAGCCACATGGCTGACTGCAGGTTCAAATCACCAGGTTGGCTTGAAAAAGCACCAGAGGTGTATGAGCATGCCCAGGGTTTTGATGAGCTGGAGGGCTGGGAAAAGAAGACCGCAGCCTGATGAGAACCTGTTGGAACTGCCCTCCCCCGTCCATGCATGCACATATGATATCATAAATAAAAAAAAAACAGACTTTTCAAAATAAAAACATAGAACATTTTTTTGTAAAGTACTAAGCACCAGCCTGTGGTGGCCAAAGATACAATTCAAGCCACTGACCTGGAGGCTTGAATAATAGGCTGAATGCCTGTGTGAGTGTGCCCAGAATCCTGAACCGAGGGAGAGATGGAGAAGGATTGTGGCATGACCATTGCCCATGGAGAGTGCTTTCTTGCTGTCCTCCCATTTCTCTCTGGCAAATGCAAAGCCCTCAGACAGTTTTTTTTAAGTGTCTACTAAGAGCATTAAAGAACTCCTTTAAAAAATTATTACTAGTTTAACTCTATCCCCAGGAGTGTAAAGTTGATATAATTGTAGAAAATTGATTAATATCATTTAC